GGTTTTGATATGAAGTATGCTGTATCATATATATCACATTATGGTGGAACTTATGCTAATAAACTCAATCAAATTTTCGATAATGAGAGATTATTTGACACTTTATCTACCATAAAACAGAACGAAACACCTGTTCAATGGGTAATACGAGTAAGAATTTCATTACAAGATTTGTTAAATTCAGGAAAATTTAGTATATATCATCGATATTGTTTATTTATGTCATATGGTAAAGGTAAATTTGTTAATTTCGATTATTACAGACCAAGGATTCATAAAAGTCATATGGCTATTTGTTTTGGTTGCTGGAAACTTATAAAAATTGATGACGTACAACCTAAAAAATCATTCCATTTTACTAGACAAAGATATGTTGATCGTCTCGTACCTAGTGATTTGATGACCAGTCATTGGGATAATGATTGTGATAAACCAAAGACCGATTTCGGAAAAGCAAGAATTATACAAACTGCTTATCGAAATTATAAGAAAAAGCCTGAATCAGAATCCAATAGAATCTGGGAAGCAGTCAGAAATGACGATACTTCTGAGAACAAGAAGTTTTTAGGTATAACTCCTCGAAAAATAAGACTTCCTGAAACTTCTTATGTTGGATATGGTGGGAGAACGATTCTAGCTAAAGATGTACCAGCATATACTCGAAATTTACCTGAAATGTTTTATCGTTATAGTCCTAAAAGTTGGGCAGATGCTAAGAAATATCAATTACAAAAAAGATTATATAACCACATTTTAAATTTATTAGGACAACAAGGATACAGAGTAATCAATAGTAAGCAATGGTATGTAATGTTAAAGTGGATACAAAATCCTGAATTATATATTGATAATAAATACCCGCCATTTATAAGAATCGAATAAATTATTATAGACAGTTCATGGAGAAATGCATCAAATTATCAATCTATAGCTTCGCAATACACATATCTATATATTCATATGTATCTATTGAAAATAAATTTTATTTCGTTATCTTTCCTAAAGAAAAGCTAGTAACATTTTTTACTTTGATTTTTATATACAGTCATTTTACATGGCACAAAAATTTCTCTCAGTACAAATAGAATTTATTTATTTTTCAACACCTACTTCAACCTCAATCAGGCTGGATACTGATAGCTATTTCATTGGAGAATAGTAGTAAATAAGATGTTAAAATCATCCACCCCAATTCCAATCACAGCTGGATACGGACAGCTTCTTAATAGAAGTGGCGAGTAGGATGTGGGGCATAGCCCATTGCTTTGCAATACTTATAT